CAACCTAATATAAACCAAAAGTATCTAGGCAAGCAGGCACCAGCTGCAAGGGAAGATAGGGGCCCGGTGCCTCCTGCTTATTTGTTTATCATTTTTATTTTATGTGTATGAATATATTGCCTGCATGTATATAAGTGCACCTGTGCTATGCAATACCCACAGAGGTCAGAAGAGGGTGTCAAATTCCCTTGGAACTGGAGTTACAGATGGTTGTTAACTGCCATGTGGATGCTGGGAGCTGAACCTGGGTCCTCTAGAAGACCAGCCAGGACTCTTAACTACTAAGCCATCTCTCTAGCCTCCTCCTGCTTATTTGTGATCTGGTGAACTTAAGTCTATCTAAGGCTCCTCTGGTATTGGAAACAGATCATTTATATTTCACTTGTTACACCTTCAACTGCCCACTGCTACTCATTGCTTTCATCCAGGGGTGTGTCCATGACTCTAAGCCAGTGCTCTGTCACCAAGCTGACTCCTAGCCTCTTCTCCACCAAACCCTTTCCCACATTTCCTTAGCCACAATCCTACTTGCTTCAGCCTAGCCTTGTCTCTAAGCAGCCTGGTAACTGTCTGGGTCTATCTGTGCTGGCTGTCAGAGAATACCAGAGACCAGGTGGTGTACCCAGAAAAGGAATTTCTTCTCAGTCTGGTGGCTGGTGAGTCCGAGGTCTGTGAGGCAGCTTCTGGTGAAGGCTTTGTGTTGCACCACCCTCTGGTCAAAACCAGAAAGGGCAAGAGAGAAAGAGGATGAGCGAGCAAGGCAGGGTTGGGCTTGCTTTGTTTTTGTTTTGTTGTTTTTATTGTTTGTTTGATTGAGACATGTTTTCATGTAGCCCAGGCTGGCTTCCAATTCTCTCTAGCCAAGAATAACCCTAAACTCCTGAATCTCTTGCTTCCATCTCCCCAGGGCTGGGTTGACCTGCATGTCTAGTTTATATGATGCTGGGAATGAACCCAAGGCCTTGTGTGTGCTAGGCAAGCACTCTACCAGCTGAGCCTCCTCCTCAGCCCTGTTTTTTTGTTTCTTGATTCAGGTCTTGCTATGTAGCCTTGGCTAGCCTTGAACTTGCAGCAATCTGCCTGCCTCAGCCTCCCAAGTGCTGGAATTACAGGCATGTCTCACCATGCCCAGCTTGAACTTGGCTTTTTATAAGTTAATACACTGGCTAGGGAAGACGCCTCAGGGTCTGATCACCTCCCACAAGGCTCTGCCTTTTACATTGTTGCTTTGAGATGAAGTTTCCCACATATAAACTGTGGCAAATACATTCAGGCCACAGCAGTGGCCTTGTACTGATTCCTATATTCATGGGCCTTAGTTTTCCCATCTGTGAAACAGAATCTTCTGCTGCCTCCCTCCTGGATGGTGTGATGGTGGAATGGAGGGAGCAAACTGTGAAGCTGAGATGGCTCAGTGTGGTTATCAGCTCCTCCCTGGACCCTGGCAGGCCTGTGACTGCTGGAGCTCTGCATGGAAGGGAAATCCAGTCCAGTGAGGCATGCATGCACAAATGCCCTGGACACACTGTGACTCAGCTGTGCTGAGAATTTTGGAAAAAAATGCCAAAGAGTGAGACATGCCGTGTCCCTGTAAGCTCAGCCTCAGAGGAGGGGTCACCTGAGGAGCTAGAAGCCTCTAACCAGAGGGCAGATGGGGAAGTAGTAGTGAGTTTCTCTGTAGGGTAGGGATTGGGTCTAAGTCTATCAACTGGAGACCTTGGACAGGTCATTTTGTCTACCTGAGCCTCAGTTCTCTCCTGTGTAAAATAAAACTTGTAAGGGTTAAATAAGATTGAAAAACTGGACGTCATGGTATATGCTTGTAGTTTTGGCACTCAGGAAGCTGAGACAGGTGTATTACTGTGAGTTTGGGACCAGCCTGAGGTACATAGTAAGACCCTAACTAAACAAAACAAAAAAACAAATAAGATGCAACTAGGGTCTGTAGGTATTACTCAGTGGTAGAGAGCCTGCCTGGCATCCTCAGAGCCCTGGGTTTGATCCCTGGCATGGCAACCAAACCAAACACGATCATTCGGGTAACACACGGTGTTCTCCTTCCCGTTTTTTGTTTTCTTCTCTTTGGCTCAGCTCCCCACAGTCCATTTCAGCCCAAAGAAAATCATATGGTTTTGTTTCTGTGGTGCTGGTGAGGAGCCCAGGGCCTTGCCCATTCTACCACGAAGCCACACCCTGCCTAGGTCATGGCCTCTGAACTTGAGGTGAAAGAGGCTCCTCCCAGCAAGCTCTGTGTGGTCCTGGACACTTCTCAGTGAACTTGTGTGTTAGGTTATGTCCTGCAGGCATAATCTTGGCTGTGAAATTTTAACAACTGTTATGAATCCTTTCTTGTAGCAGAAAAATGGATGGAGGAGGATGGAGCAAGAATACTAGAAGAGGAAGGGCCACCCTAGCAGGTTCCATCTGCTCCTCCTGATGGGACAGCAGCTCCAAACTGCCCAGGAAAGCAGGATGGGATGTACACATGCAGTCCCAGTTTTTCGGAGGGGAGGGTTACTTGAGCTCAGGAGCATAAGACCAGCCTGGGTAACATTGCAAAACCCTGTCTCAGTGGAAATAAACAAAGCAGCCTAAAAATCAGCCTGCAAAATTTCTAGTGCTAAGGGCACTCACTGTGGGTGCCCCAGTGGCTACATCTAAGCCAGGTTTCATAACACAATGTGGACTGATTGTGGCTTCTTCCCTGGGGCTAATGGTGGGCCTGGGAGGAGGTGCCAGCTTCACTCCTGTCTCCCAGCTGGGACTGAGCAGCATCCCTTGCACAACTCCAGATGAGCCATGTGTGCCTGGGCAAGTTTCTTTGCTTCTCTGTGCCTCTGTATTCTTACTGGAACATGGAAATGACCATAGTGAGCCTTCACTGGGTTGTGGTGACTGTTAGAATGTTGTCCAACAGGTAGTGAGCCCTGGGAATTGCTTGTTCTTAATCATCGCTGTCATCATTTTTGCTCTGTGCCCAGCCCTGTACAGGGAATGGTGTCAAAGACATGACTCAGCCCCAAGCCCCTTCCTTGGATACGTTCATGATCTAGTGGCAAAAACAAACCCCGGGCATGTCAGGCCCTCTGCTGAGCCCTGAGCAGAGGCCTGAAAACAGGTGTGTGGAATTCATTCATGAGCACATGTCTTATTTCTTTCAAATGTGTGCCATGTGTTCTTTACGTCGGTGACAGCTGTGTATACACCCATATGTTTGCATTTCTTCCCCCAGAGCTACTAAACATTTCTTAGCATACTACCTCATACATCACATATGTTCATGTATATTGGCAAGGGTGTAGTCACATGGCTACACCCAACTTCAAGGGATTCTGGGAGATGTAGTCTCCAGCTGGTGGTTTTGTGCCCATCTAAATTCAGATTTGTTGAGCCCAGCCCTACCAGGTATTTCTCCTAAAAGAGCACCTGCTCACCAGGAATAGCCGGTTTTGGATTTCCCAGTGTTCCACCTAAGATGCACCTTTGGTGACCTCTAGTGACAGCTCCTCAGGAGCTCAAGAAAGCACTCTGTGCTGTTCCCAAAGGAACACAGTTCTCAAGTCCTGGCCTCAAATTCACCACTTGAATCCATAAATATTCTAGCCTGCCTGCACAGTGTCCTGAACCAATATTTTCAAGTGCATTAAATAGTTTGAGCTCTAGAGTCCCAACTTGAGCAAGACCTTCCACTTCTTTGGTATTCAGTTTCCCCTCAGAGAGCATGGAGAGGATAAAGCTCACCTTTTGCAAAGGCGTGTTGTAAAGGTCAAGTGAGGCAATCTTTGGGGGAAGATCTTTGTTGTCTGGAAGTGATGATCCACCAATGGTTTGTCACCAGCTGCAGAGGGAATCATGGACACATGCCCTTGTTAAACATTTGACACGATGCTGATACGAGGTGGCATGTTGTATTTTTAATAAGGAAGCTTGGTTGTTTAGTTATGACAAAAGTGATACTGTCAGACATGGTAGAGCATACTTATACTGCCAGCAACTTGGGATACTGAGGTAGAAGGACGTTTGTGTGGCTAACCTGGCAACTTACAAGACCCTGTCTCAATGTAAAAAAGTAAAACGGGGGGGGGGGGAGCTGGAGAGATGACTAAGTAGTTAAGAGCAATTGCTGTCTGAAGCTTCAGAAGAAGCTTCCCAGCACTCAGGAAGCTCACAACCTCCTATAATGCCAGTTCCAAGGGAGCCAATGCCCTGTTATGGTCTCTGCCAGCATCTGCACACATGTGGGTGCGTACATAACTCAGTGAAAGTGCTTGCTTACTATATGTCAAGCCCTGGGTTCAATCTTCACTATCACACATACACAACACCCCCCCACACACACACATCAGATATAGTAAGTTGCTCAGGCCTGTAATCCAGGAGGATTGCCGTGAGTTTGAGGCCAACCTGGGCTACATAGCAAGATCCTATTTCAAAAAACAAATCTAGAATGAAACAAAAGGCAATACTGTTTTTTTGTTTGTTTGTTTTTGTCTTTCTGAAACAGGGTCTCCTTGTAGTCCCAGCTGGCCTGGAACTCATTATGTAGACCAGGCTGGCCTTGAAATCACAAAGATCTGCCTCCTCTGTCTCCCAAGTACTGGGATTAAAGGCATGTGCCACCATGCCCAGCTTGGCAATTTCCTTTGAATTTAGGAACTATAAGATAAAAAATAAGAAACTAAAAATCCATATAGTACCACACAGAGATAATAATTTAATGTCTTGACAGAGCTCTGACAATCCTCAATTCATAGTGATTTTTCCTCCAAAACAGGGTCTCACTATTTACATAACCCTAGCTGACCTAGAACTCACTATTGTAGACCAGGCTGACCTGGAACTCATAGACAGTTCCTCTACCTCATTGGTGCTGAGGTAAGAGGTGTATGCCACCATGCTTGGTTGTTTGTCCTTTCTGTATTCATTTGAATGCTCTCTATATTAAGGAGACTAACTAATGTGAAGTTAAAAACACTACTGTTCTTCCTCCAGGGAAAGCCATGGAGGCTTCAGGATCCTCTTCTCAGTCTCAAGACAGCAGTCAACTCCACGGCGAAACAGAAGGTCTAGACCATATGTTTGCTTTTTCAGATCCTCTGGGCACAGCCTGTGGGGAGGTGGGTCTAGCATGGACGAATGGGACAGACGAAGACCCTGCTTGGTTTGTGCAGTGTGATGGCCACATTGCAGCTGCCTCAGGGAAGGGACTTTTGCACTTGTGCACACGCACATGTGTGTCTTCCAATCTGTCCCCTGTGCTTTCTGGCTGAGCAAATGCTCAGTTGCTTCTCAAGAACTTTCTGGGGCTTGTGTTGGAAGTAGGGAGAGTTCCCAGATGGTGGGGTTTCCTGTGGCCTCTGCATGAAGGATGGGAAAGTTTAGGGCTTGATTACATCCCGTCTTCCCTGTGATTTGCAGAGAATCCTGAACTAGCACCTGCTCTGAGCCTAGTGGTCTTTGGGCAGGGCAGGGGACTTAGAAACCTCTTTTTCTAGGTCTGTATTGAGAGAAATTTTTGCCTTGGACTGTCTTTGAACCCTTGGGGTCTCTGAGAAACTTGGTCCCTGGTGCCCTCCATTGACTTAGGATGTTCAGGAGAGCAGTCCTCCCTCTTGGCTTGCTGAGTGCTCCTTGGGGAGGCTGAGTTGGTGCCTGGAATGGGAGTGGCCGGAAGCACTCATCATCTTGCCTGTGTGCACCTCCAGATGGAGAGACTGAGTTTCACAAGCAAGATGGGAAGGTCTGGGAGCGATATGACAGAGACAAGTCCTCCTCTTCCTCCTCCTCCTCTTCCTCCTCATCATCTTCCTCTTCCTCCTCAGGTATATCAAACATTCTTAGGACTGGGTGTGCCTCAGTGATATACTGCTTTCTTCATAGATTCCTGGGTCCCATCTCTAGCACCACACATACAAAATTTCATACATTAAAAAGTCTTAGTGCCTAGCACATAGTAAAAGCGCTAAAACAACTTACTGTTACAATATCCCTGGTCCCAGTTTACCCTTCTTATGATCATCTTTGTGCAAAAGGTTTTTACCTTTGAGTTTTTGTGTAAATCATATTGATCTCTCACAAGTGCTCTAGTAGCTAAAACCAATGATGTCTCCCGTGGGCTCTTATTTACTAATTATCAGATTATCTACTAGGAAACAACAATGTTCTTTTGCTTTTACTTTTTTTTTTGTTTGTTTGTTTTTTTGAGACAGGGTCTCCCGTAGCCCCAGCCTGGAATTCACTACGTAGACCAGGTCTCAATTTTACAGAAATCCTCCCAAATGCTGGAATTAAAGGCATGCACCACCACACCTAGCTACTTTTCCTCTTTTAGTTAAAAGTGTAGGGCTAAGTTTATAGCAACAGCAGCTGCAGCATTGAAGCTGGCATTTACTGAATGCTTACGGTGTGCCAGGTATGTTCCAAGAACTTTGCATATAAGAACTCAATTGTCACAGGACCCCCATTGAGGAAGATATTCACCTTAGTCCCAGTTTACAGTGACACAGGCACAGAGAAGCTGTGGGGCCTGCTGTAAGAGGGCTCAGAGGGCTCAGGAATGAACTTGAGAGTACCTGAAGGCTTTCTAGGACTGGGGAGTATAAGGAGTGTGCTTTTCCTCTGCTTAACCCAAACTTCTGCACTATGATGTTTTACATTGTGGGCTTGAGCTTATGATTTTATTTGTTGAAAGATTCCTATGCTTGGGCTGAGGGTGTAACACAGTTGGTAGGGTGCTTGCCTAGCATTCATGAAGCTGTGGGTTCCACCCCCAGCGCTGCATAAACCAGGCATGCAGCAAGTGCTCATAACCTCAGCACTCAGGAGGTAGAGGCAGGAGGATCAAAAGTTCAAGGACATTCTTAGCCAGCCTGAAGAAAGAAAGATTCCCAGGCTGAATCAATCAATCAATCAATCAATCAATCAGTCAGTCAGTCAGTCAGTCAATCAATCAATCAATCAATCAATCAAAGCCTAGCATGGTGGTATACATTTGTAAGCCCAACATTTGGCCATTTGGAAGGCGGAGGCAAGAAGACTAGTCTGGGCCACATAGTGAAACTGCCTCAAGCAAACAAAAACAAAACAAAACTAACAACAACAACAACAAAAAGACCCTGTAAACCAGGTTGGAGACATGGTTCAGTGGTTAAGAGCACTGGCTGCTCTTGCAGAGGACCTGGATTTGATTCCCAGTACCCAAATGGCGGTTAACAACCATCTGTAACTCCAGTTCCGAGGGATCCAAACCCTCTTCTGGCACTGCATGAAATGGGTGCACTTACATCCATGCAGGCATAACATTCATGCACATAAAGTAAAAATAAATAAATAAAAATTTAAAAATAAATAAACTGCAAACCCCAAACTTATATTATTAGTAAACTAAAACTAATTGTCAATTTCAGGTTGATAGAGCTTGTCTCTGACTGATAGAATTTGGGATGTTTTGCTTTATTTTTATATTGTTGGATATTTTGCAATAAAAATTCTTTTTTAATAATATACCCAAAATATGTTTATTGGGATGGTTTCCCACTTAATTCAGGGTGCTTCTGGTTCTTTTTGAGGGCTTGCTTTCCACCTGTTGGCTGACAAAACACAGGGAGCAGCCAACACAGCAGACTGCACATGACTGAAGACTGGGATGTTATAGTATTCTGGACATTTCACATCCGTGAAGTAGGAACTGGGGCTCTGCACCAGGTGCTTTGTCTCGTGTTTCCTCTTTTCTTTGGAGAAGAAGGAAGGCGATCCTTTGCAAGAGGCATGTTTTCGTAGGGAGGCCGTAACCACCAGAAAATGTTTTTTCCATTCATGTGTATTTGTAAAATATAGAAAAGAAGGAAATAACTGAATGTGGTGGCCCATGCCTGTGGTCCCAGCACTCAGGAGCTAGAGACAGGAGGATTGCAGCAAGTTGAAGTCAGTCTGATCCAATAGTAAGTTCCAGAGAGATAAGGTCACTCAAAATCTTATTGCCTGGGGATGGAGAGATGGCTCAGTGGTTATGAGCACTGGTTGCCTCTTCCTCTATGTCAGTTGAAATTACATGAACACTGACTTTGAAGCACAGTTAACTTGATTTCCTGGAATTTTTTAATGGATCCACTATTGACTAGGAGGTCCCTAAGGATATTAAGGGAACTCATCTGGTGCTGTCATGGTAGTTCTGGGAAACTAACATGTGAATCCTCTGGCCTGGGAGCCAGAAACTCCTGGTTCTGAATTCTTAGAATGCTGACTGGTCTGAGAATACAGACAACTCAGCCATGCTTTAAGTCCCATCAGGCTCCTGTTCCTGGCTGGGCAGCCTGACACCATGGAAGACCCAGGCTATGACCTTGAGGAGCTCACCGGGTTGGAGAGAAAAGCATCCCACAGCCCCCTGGCTGCTGACTCAGGCACAGACAGTTGGTACCATAGACACCCCAGGCAGGGAAAACAAGACCAGTGAGGGTCTGAGCAACCAGAATAAGCTTTCTATAGGATGTGTGACATCACCTTAGATTCATAATAAGTGAGACAAGTGGGAGGGTGTTCCAGGTGAGTAAGACACAGAGCAGACACAGGGGTCACATGATGTCATGGGGATAGAGATGACTCAGCCTTGTGCTTGGTGGAATCTCCATAAGACATATACTTCATGGAATTTTGCCTCCTCTTCACGAAATCCTCCTGGAGTAGCTGAGGCAGCAACAGAAATAGGATGGCGACACAAAGCCCACAGAAGCACTTAACACAGTCAGAGGCAGGATCCCTAACCCTTACTCAGGCAGAGGTCCTTCCTCCACAAAGATGGGAGTGCTGAGAACCACCAGAGGGAGCATGATCCTGGCTCCTCCCAGGCTGAGGTCCTACAGCTTGTGTTTGTTCCCCACAGAGAGCAGTGATGAGGACCAGCACCCCAGAGCTCCAGGGAAACGCTGTCGGAGCTCCCACAGGGACAGCTCTCATGGTAGGCAGCAGGTCTTCCCTTCCCTTTGCCTTCTCAGCTCATGGCTGAGTTTCTCAATGAAGCTGTGTAAAGATGTTTCTCACGGCCTTATTTATATCAGGATGAACAGGAAATAGCTAATATCCCACAATAGTCAGGCAGAAGCATGAAACTGCACTATGAGCCCTGGCTGGCCTCAAACTCACAGAGATTCACCTGCCTCTGCCTCCCACCCAAGTGCTGAGATTAAGGGCATGTGCCACCATATGTGGTTTATTTTTTCTTTTTAAAAAACTGTCCTATCCGTGGAGCTAAAGAGATGGCTCAGAGGTTAAGAGCACGTACTTCTCTTCCAGAAGACCCAAGTTCAGTTCTCAGTACCCATGTTGGACAGCTCAGAACTGCCTGTAAGTTCAGTTTCAGGGATCCAATACTGGCCTCCAGGGACACTTTACACACATGTGCACATATCCACACACAGATACAAACATATACATATAATTTAAAAAATTTTAAATGTCCTATCTTAAAAATATAATAAGCATGTTTTGCTTTCATAGCCAGGAGAAAATCATTTTTTCAAAAATAAATTTTGTAGAAAGAAAAGAGTACCAGGGAAGAAATGGGAATTAATCAATGAACATCTAGTCCAGAGCCTGGTACATGCAAAGCTCATAACATGACAAAGCGTTGCCCATGACCCTGGAGTTGAACCTGGGCAGTATTTCTAAAGGTGCAAATAGCTGGGGGATCTGAAGATATATCTCAGTGTGGTGGAGTCTGCACTTAGCGTACAGCATCAAAGCAAACAAAAAACCAGGAATCCAGGTTTTATACAGACAGTGGAATCACCACGTACTATCTAACTTTGGTAGAATAACTGAACTTTATTCTTGCCTTCCTCACCCCAGCCTCACCCCTATTCTGGAGATCAAATCAGTATCTCACACATGCTAGGCAAGCTCTCTACCACTAAGCTATTCCCTGAACCCTAATTGAGCCTCGGTTGCAGAGATGTACCGATACTTTCTCCATATTCTTTCTGTGAGGATCAAATGAAACATGAAATATAAATTACTGTTGGCACATCATAACAACTCAATAAATGTCAACTATAATTGACCTTGACTGAACCCCAGGTCCTGTCAGACCTGCAGTTCCTTCTTAGTTAAGGAAACGTGGTTACATCTAGGGGTCAGGGACTGGGAGGCTGAGGAAAGCTGTTTTGCCCCCTGAAGGCCCTCAATCACCCCCAGGTCAAGGGCGCTGATCCTTTTTGAAGGCTTCAGATTTGGGGAGATGGAGGTAGGACACTGTCTGAGGAGAGCTAACCAAAGGGATTTTTTTCTCCCAGGTGCTGAGCATGGGGAACCAGAGGTGCTGAAGGACGAGCTTGAGGTCTATGGAGGTAACTGTCCACTGACTCTGGAGAAAGGATCATGAGGGCTTAGGGCCCTGTGGGTAGAGTAAGGGCATGGAGGTCTCAGGATCTGAGAAGTCCCACACAGATACAGAAGTGGTAGTGAAGCTACCAGTGCGATTGAGGGGCAGGGTGTCTTCTACCATGGTGAGACTATCTTAAAGGACAGTTTGCCTTCTCTGCTGACTTTAATCTTGACTTTGGGAATGGTCTTGACAGGTCACTCAACACAACTGGACCTCAGTTCACCATCAGCAAATAGATCAGAGTGTGATCTGTTCTGCTCTCTTGTAATACTGCACTGTTTAAGCATGCAAGGCAATACTGAGGATCAGTTCATGAACTGTTTCCAAGTACCACATATGACAGTGAAGAGGGGTGGATAGCATGGTACTATTGTTTCTGGTCTTTGGGCTGAGATCAAGTGTAAATAATGTGGTACTTTGATCAGCAGCTCTCTAATGAAGTAGGAGAGTTTACAGGAATAACCCAGTTGATGTATCAAAGAGCCCCACAGATACACACTACCCAGGAAGAAAGCCAGAGCTAGGCTGGGCATGGTGGCGCACGCCTTTAATCCCAGCACTGGGGAGGCAGAGGCAGGTGAATCTCCATGAGTTCAAGGCCAGTCTGGTCTACATAGCAAGTTCCAGGACAGCTGGGGCTATAGGGAGACCCTGTCTCAAACAAACAAGCAAGCCAGGACTCCCAAAGTCCGCTTAGTCTCCCAGTTCCTGATAATGACCCAGTGAAACAGCAGAAAACATACATACTCAGAGGAGGAAGACCTGTAAACCACATTTTGGAATATGACTCATGACTGCCTCTTAGCTACTGGCTTTGTGAGTGATCTTTATATTGTTTGATTTGCTTATCTGAATTTATTTACATATTTATTTATTTATTTATTTATACTTTTTTTGGGTCTTTTTTTGAAGCAGGGTCTCCCTGTAGCCCCAGCTGTCCTGGAACTCACTATGTAGACCAGGCTGACCTTGAACTCACAGAGATCTGCCTGCCTCTGCCTCCCAAGTGCTGGGACTACAGACGTGCGCCACCACGCCCGGCTATACTTATTTTTTTGAGATGGTCTCACTATGTAACTCTGGCTGACCTGGAACTTGCTATGTAGACCAGGCTGACCTGAAAGTCACAGAGATCTGCCTGCCTGTCTCCCAAGTGCTGGGATTAAAAGCGTGCACAACTATGCCCAGCCATTTATTTATTTTACTGCTAGAGATTGAACCCAAGGCTGATTGATTTCTTTGTTGTTGTTGTTGTTATTTTGTTTTAAATAAAAAGAACTATTTAGTTTAGAAAGATGTTTTGAGCTGGAGGTATAGCCCTGGGTTCAATCCCTAGGACCAAAATCAGAAAAAGAAAACTGTTTAGTTTCTCAGTTTAAGAAAGGTTTCACTGAATGTAAATAATGTGTTATGTTTGCATGTGTTCAGAAACTTTTTCTCTTCTTAGAAGTAACTCCCTCTGAATTTGGTTGTGTACACCTTTAATCCCAGTATTCAGAGGCAGAGTCAGGTGGATATCTGTGTCTTACACAGATAGACTAGGCTAGCCTAGTCTCCAGAACAAGTTTCAGGCCAGTTAGGGCTACATAATATGACCCTGTCTCAAAACAAAACAACAAAAAAAAGTACCTTCCATTCCTTGTCATGCGGAGAACCCCAACCAGGCCTGTATCACTTCCCATTAGATGTTGCACATTCACCTTGTTTGCGTCTCATTTCCTGCTCTTACTATGTTTTGCACACTCAGCACTGACCAGCTTTTGTGGCTTTGCAGGTATATTCCCTGTTTGCATATACACATAAAGACAAGAACAGTTTTCTGTGTGGAAGTTCATTGCCATGGTCTTCTTGCCTCCTTCTGTGTTTGTGTCCTGGGCTTCCCTGAAGGACAAACAGGAGATAATACAGAACTTGACCTGTGGTTGGTATCCCTAAGGATCCTGTCTGCCCTTCCCTGCAGGGAGGTGACAGGCTAGGACAGAGGTCAACAGGGAATAATACCAAGGACAGGACATGAAGGGAAGCTGTAGCTCGGGGTTCAGCTCATCCTTAGTAGCCCAGTCAAATGACTCAGCCATCTGGTGAGAACACAGCTTGTCTCCTGTATGCTTAGGATCTGGCAGTAAGGGCCAGATGGCAGGTGCCCTCTCCTGCATTCAGATAGGTTTGAGCAGGCACAGGTTATAAACACTTGTGTGCGTATATGTACATGTGTGGGGATATGTGTATATGTGCTTGTGTATGTGGGAAGAAGTGCTTTTATCTAGTTAGGGGGTTGTTGTTTGGTTTGGTTTTAATTTTTATTGTTGGTTTGGAGGATATAGCTCAGTGGCTAAAGCACATGCACAGTACGTTTGAGGTCCTGGTTTGATCCAAGACCACACACACACACACACACACACACACACACACACACACTCAGGCATGATTATTACTGTTAATAAGTTTCATCAATTTTATGGTTAGTATTTTTCAACTCCTGATTTCCTTGAAATGAGGCTGCATCTTAAAATTACAAGGAAGCAGGCAGATCTCTGTGAGTTTGAGGCCAGCGTGGTCTACTTAGCAAATTCTAGGCCAGACAAGGCTACATAGTGAGACCTTGTCTCGAAGAAAGAAAGAAGGAAAGGAAGGAAGGAAGGAAACAAAACAAATAAATAAAACAAACAAAGCCCCCCCAGTTCTGTCCTGAATATGTATAGACATTTTTTGGGGGGGGCGCTTTTTGAGACAGGGTCTCCCTGTATCCCCAGCTGTCCTGGAACTCACTATGTAGACCAGGCTAGCCTTGAACTCACAGAGATCCACCTGCCTCTGCCTCCCAAGTGCGGCTTTTTTTTTTTCTGGAGACAAGGTCTCATTGTATATCCTTGGCTGGCCTGGAACTTGTTATGTAGACGAGGCTGGTCCCAAATTCACAGATTCCCCTGCCTCTGCCCTTCAAATGCTGGGATTAAAGGTTTGCACCACCACACAGATTTGACAACATTGTGTCAGATATTGTAAGTATTCTAGATCATATACCATATACATGAAGTACAAGTAGGTAATATGAAAATACTACACCATTTTACTCTCCATGAAACTTTGGTGTCCATGGATTTTAGTATCCAGGGAAGCCCTAGAATCAAGTCCCCATGGACACATGGAATGACTACACAAGGACTGCTAGCCTTTTCTAAAAATGGGAAGATTTTTGTTAAAGGCTGACCTCATAGGTACTGAAAGACTGTTAAACAGGGCAGGCACTCAAGTAGCAGCTTTCTGTGGCTTGGGGTGGGGCTGACTGCCTGTAGGTGGAACAGGAACCTTCCATCTTATTCCCACCCCCATCAGATCCACTTTCCACTCTAGAGCTTTTCCCCAGGACAGCACCATCTTATGTATGCTCACTAATTCTCCTTCCCTGTAGGTCCTTCTGGGGAACTGGTACTCACTGGGGAGTCAGGTGAGTGTCCAGGTAGGGGAGGGAGTCAGGGACGCTGGGGTTGAGTGAGATCTTGGCATTGCCCTTCCCCTGGGACACTCTCAGGGGCATAGCTGTGGAAGACGGAACTTCAAGGTCACCTGGGGACCTGCCTAGGTGAGCATGAGGGAAAAAGGCCTGGGGGAGAAGCAAGGTGATTTCCATCAGCAAGGAAAGATTCCTTGGAGCTGGAGACTTCAACTAGGACCTTTTCCTCAGTCACCTTTGACCTTCCCCGGGGTGGAGATGTGCAGGAAGGACCTCTGGCCAGCCTGGGCACTAACACTGAGTTTCTTATTTCCAGGACTCCGAAGAAGAGGCTCTGGCTCTGGAAGTGGTAAATATACAAGCTCAGATGGCAGTAGAAGGCTGCCTGAGTTCCAGAGGGGACCACAGATGGCATGAGAGGGTTTGGCCAGTTCCATCAGGGATGCCAACATCGCATAATTCAGAAAGGAGGCGCCATCACAGGGGAAATGGAAGGGAGAGCAGAGCCAGGCCTGTGGAGGGATGAAGGAGTTATCAGGGGTCCTGGGGACAGCTACCCACATGTTAAAGGCCCTACTTGGCTGTTCCTGTTGTGAGTACACTGTGACTTGCAGAAAAGTATCTAGCGACTAAGTCTCTGAGTGGGGAGGGGCAAGCCACCTGCCATCTTCGTCAAGGTTAAAAGCACGTCTCTCTTTCCCTCATTCCTAAGGAGAAGTGGAGACCTCTCAGTTAACAAGACTGAACATAAAGAAAGATGGTAAGGAAATCATGTTCTAGAGCTGTGCCCACCTGGCTGGTCCAGACCTTTGTGGGTGCAAGGAGGCTGGTGGCTAGAATAATAGTAACCTTATCTGTCATGTCCCCTGTAGTTTGCAAACTTCTCAGCTGGGTGGGAAGACAGACAATGATGCCCATCTTTTCATGTAGAAATCTTTTTTTTTTGTTGTTGTTAAGATGGTAAGGAAATCATGTTCTAGAGCTGTGCCCACCTGGCTGGTCCAGACCTTTGTGGGTGCAAGGAGGCTGGTGGCTAGAATAATAGTAACCTTATCTGTCATGTCCCCTGTAGTTTGCAAACTTCTCAGCTGGGTGGGAAGACAGACAATGATGCCCATCTTTTCATGTAGAAATCTTTTTTTTTTGTTGTTGTTGTTCTTTTTGAGACAGGGTCTCCCTGTAACCCCAACTGGCCTGGAACTCACTATGTATACCAGACTGGCCTTCAACTCAAAGAGATCTGCCTGCCTCTGCCTCCCAAGTGCTGGGATTAAAGGTGTGCACCACCACGCCCAGTGGGAGGGTAGTCTTACAGCTATCAAAGGACATGTCCTGAGCTTGATGCCCAGTCCTGTGCTCCTTCTTTAGTGCATGAAATCACAGAGTGATAGATGCCTCTCATGCCCTGTGGCCAGATGTGTCCAGGCTGTGGGAACTCGTGAGGTTTCATTAGCAGATAAGAGCCACAGGGCCGCCTCTGCTCCAAACCTGGAACCCATGAGATTTCCTGGAAGACCATAAGGGAGAGGAGACCATGGTATTTTGGTTTTGTTTTTTAAAGATTTAAATTTTTTTAAAAATTATGTATATGCATGCATGTTTGTATGTAGGTATGTGTATATGAGTGTAGGTGCCCATGGGGGCCAGAAGAGGGTGTCAGATCTCTTGAGCTAGCGTTACAGTGTAAAAATTG